GACGACGTCACGACACGACGACGTCACGACACGACGACGTCACGACACGACAACGTCACGACATGACGAGCGCCAAGATGAGACGACGTCATGACACGATGACGTCATGACACGATGACGTCACGTCACAACGACGTCCTGACACGACGACGTCACGACACGACGAGCGTCAAGACGAGACGACGGGGCGTCCTCCTGAGGGATCAGCACTTCTGTCACACGGTCGTTTTCCTTCCCGCTTTCTCTTAGTTTTTTATTTGAAGGATTCCCGGTCACCGTTCTGAGGAGGGTTCAGGTCCCGTCAGGTCAAGCTGCTTATCGAGGGGGGGTCCACACCTGCCATGTGTGGATGCATTGTACGGAGCTGGACGACAGTCCGTCGTGTCAGCAGAGCAACAAAAGGCCCGGCATGGGACAGGACTGCGGCGACCCGGTGACCTGCTGGATTCTGTTCAGCTGTTTGAAACCGTGAACGACAAAAGAACAAACACAAAAGGACGACAAACGTTTTGCACATAGCACCATGCCATCGGCTTCCAGTTCTTAACACCTAACTGGTGGATCGCGGGTCCAGAGGGTGGATTGTGTTGTCCCGTCAGAGAGCGGATGAGGAGGACTACGATGATGATGAAGAACTGAACACAGACGAAGGAGAAGCTCGCTGGTGGGGCGAGGAGGAGGTGGGAGGAGGTGGAGGAGCCGTTCAGCTGATTGTTCTGTACACGAGGACTGAGGGACAGAAGGCACGTACTGCCCAGGTGAGGTGACGTGGGGGGCGAGGGGGGACTTCATGAGCAGAGAACTGTCCTCCAGGCTGCACCAGCTGATAAATCACAAAACAAACTGATTTCAGCAGATTTTATTCCCCTCAGAGAAAAATCTCTCAGTTCTCACAACGAGCCGATCGTTGAACGAACCCGAGCCTCCAGGTGAAGGTCTGGACCCAGACGGTGGTGCAGACAAATCCTGACCATCAGGACTTCAGGGCTCAGACCTGCCTCCACTTCATGAACTCAGACCCGGACTGAAACGTGTTCCAGTGAGCGGGCGGAGGCGGAGGCGGGGGCCGCCGGAGGAGGAGGAGTTATTGCTTTCAACTCGTTGCCAGGGCAACTCTGGGTGCTGACGCCACGGTTGAGGGCGCCGGCGCGCAGCGGAGCGTTAGCGGGGGGCACGTTGGGGTCGGTCCGGGGGATGTTGACGGGGCAGGAGCGGGTACGAGCGTGGCCTTTGTGGCCCCCCGGGTGGCAGACGAGGCTCCCCACCGTGTCGACAGGCGACAGGTGGCGTTTGAGCCAACGCTCCACCCGCTCCTCCTTGTACTTGATGGAGTACCAGGTGAGGAAGATGAAGAGGAAGCCGAGGAACTTGAGGCTGGCGGCCAGGCCGAAGTAGACGAAGCGCAGGGAGGTGACGTCGTACTCCCAGCAGGAGCCGTGGACGCCGCAGTCCTGCTGCCACAGCATGCAGGTGGTGTCGATGACGGCGCCGAAGTAAATGGGCGTCGGGATGTAGGCTGCGAGGAGAGTGTAAAAGAAGGCGCAGTTAGCTGCCGTTCATATCGACAGACATGTTCCACACAGACCTGCTCGGCTCGAAACAACCGGACACGAGTTTGTTTGGACTCACCGAGGGTCCTGAGGAGAACGAACTGCATTCCCAGAGCAAACGGCCGCTCCTGCTCTGCAACCGACCTGCAACACAAACAAACACGGAGCGCTCCGCTGCAGAACTTCTCTCAGAAACTTCTCTGGGCAAAACAAGCTGAAAAAATTACCACGTTAGGATTTAAGTTAATTAAAATTAAAGCACAAAAATGTTTAATAATATATTTTGTGAAAGAAAATTTGGACGGAATCTTCTCAGAGCTGCCGCCTAGAGGACATCAGTGGAACTGCATCTAACGCTTTTATTGTCCATGCACATTCATGTTCCTACTTTATTTAACTGCTAAAAATATTGATTTTTAATATGATGTTCCACAAAATCTAATCAGTATTTTACAAATATATCAGCCTGAAATAAAAACGTAAAATTTAAATGATTTTTGTGTAAAAAAAAAAAGGCCACATTTCAGTTTTATTTTATTGACAAAATATTCTTTTTATAACAATTTTTGAAATAAATGTATTCTCTATCAAAACGTTTTTTGTTTTTTTTTGACAGTTTCTTAAAAATTCCAGTCCTGCGTTTTGTGAAGACCCTGGACCAGCGGACCCTTCAGATCCAGCAGCCAAAAATGAGGTCTTGTTTCAGTCAAACTAAATCGTGTCTCCTGACCTTCAAACATGGAGGGATTTAATAAACAAATCTTTTATGAAAATTAGTATTTTCTTTATATTTTTAAACTCTGTCAGTGATAAAATGTCTAATTTGTAAAGGTTTTTCGCCTGTACTGACCAAAACATACGAGAGCTGCAGGAGCATGGTCCACTTTCAGATAAACCAACGGGCGCCTGAGTCCGCAGCCTGCATGCATGTTCACTTTTTCCTCTTTACAATATAAAAGCAGGGAACCACCTTGTGGGCTAATATAAAAATAAAAAGTTTAGTAATAAAGATTACAGAGAGGAATGCATTATTTTATATGATAAATACGATTTTTTTTTTTTTTACAGTATTCTAATGGAGTGTAGTAAAGTTACTGTGAGGGCGTTAGAAAAAAATCTGACATAAAAAAGTAGGATTTTTAGGCTTCTTCAGAAATAATTATGTTTATTGACTGCACCAAAATAAATAAATAAATAATGTGTAGCTGATTTTTCCCTTAAAGCTGATGCAAAGGTTAAAATCTTTATGTTTGAGCAGCAGAAACAAAGTCTTTAGAGGAATCTGTTTTTTAACAACATATTTTTTCTTCCTTTATGTATGCATTATAGCATAAAAAATATGCTTCCTAGTTTTTACTCATAGGACAGAAACTTTTTCCTGCAGATGAGCAGCACAGGTGCAGGAGTGGAGATAAAACATCTAATCTAGTCCGTCCGTTTCCTGTGAAAACATCTGTCGGGACGCAGAAAAGCGACTCTCAGGGCACCGAGCGTTCAAACCTGAGGGTGACGATGATGGCGGAGGGCTGGGCGCAGGCGGTGATGAGCGTGACGATGAAGAGGAAGATGAGGAAGGGGATGAGGGTGTTGCAGGTGCGGTCGCACTTCCCCGACACGGCGTAGCCGTTCTCGTTCAGGTAGGTCTTGACGATGACGAGCTGCAGCTGGTTGCTGCCCTGACTGCTGGACGGCGGCGTGATGACCTGCCTGCTCTGGACGCAGGCGCAGTCCGAGTAGTTACGGACCTGAAGGGAAACAAAGACGCAGCCGGAGATTTACACACCGCGGACCCATCGTTCGTGCAAATAATGAAAATATGTCGTCTTTAACAGGAACCTCAGGAACATCAGGAGCATCAGGAACATCGCTCAGACAGAAACTGGTCTGCGTTTTATTTTAACATTTATCATTTTAAAAGACTTCAGAGCTACTCAACTACATTTAAAATCACTCTGAAATGTTTTCCCTGTAAGAACTTTTAAAAAAGAACAGATAAGATATTTGAGCCTTTGAGTGTACATTTTAAAACCTACAATAAAACTTTTCAACACTTCTTTAGGAAATATAACTTTAAAATAATAGTTTTAGCTCCTCTGATGAAACGGAAAATATTTAAAGACAAATAAATGATCTATTTTGAAGAAAATCTTCAAAGATAAAATAAAGTTCATTAATGGCAAATGTCATATTCTCACTTCTAAACTTTTGTATGAAAATGATGCATTTACATAAAAAATCAGAAACTTTAACTTTAAAGCTCTTTAAACTAATCCACCAATAAAATATGCAAAACTGACTTTATATTTAATATTAATATATTTTTGAAGCTCTTTAACTTTTAACAAGTCTCATCACCAACAGATCTTCACTGCTCCTTCTCACCCCGTTGCTGTCGTTGGCCACGTTGCTGCAGCCGGCAAGGCAGGGGTTAAAGTACGTGATGCCGTCAGAACCGCAGACCGGAGCGTACTCGTGGATTTTACACCCGCAGTTCACGTTACAGCCTCCGGTCAGGTTCCTCTGCGTCATGGTGAGAGTAGGTCTGCAGAAAGAAAACACCATCAGCAACAGAACAAGCTGCTAACGGGCGAGCAGGTTCTGGAAACGTTGGGTCGCTGAATTTACGTGGATGCAACTTTAATACCACCCCCAGTGCAGCAGGAGGTGGTGATGGGTGAGAGTGAGGGATCCAGATTTCCTTTTTGGACTAATAACCATGGTCCTCAGTCAGAACAGGGTGGATTGTTCTCTTCAGGTCGAGGGTGAGGTTCTGCCTCAAGTGGAGGAGTTCAAGTATCTCTGGGTTTTGTTCACGAGTGAGGGAAGAATGGAGCGTGAGTCTGACAGACGGATTGGTGCAGCGTCTGCAGTATTGTGGACTCTGTGCCGGTCCATTGTGGTGAAGAGGGAGCTAAGCTGTAAGGCAAAGCTCTCTGTTTACTGGTCAGTCTACGTTCCTCCCCTCACCTCTGGCAATGAACTCTGGTAAGGATGCTCCCTGGGCACCTCCCTAGGGAGGTGCTTCAGGTATGTCCGACTGGGAGGAGACCCCGAGGAAGACCCAGGACACTCTAGAGAGACTATGACTTTGCTGGTCTGGCAACATCTTGTAGTCCACCCAGGAGAGCTGGAAGAGGCTGTGGAGAGAGATGTCTGGACCTCCCAGAACAAGAGGAAGATGACGGCTGGCTGGATGGACTAATAATCAAGTAGAACATTCAAAGATCATGAATGTTTGACCAAAATATCACAATAAAAAAGTTAAAACGACTAATGTGAGTGATTCTTAATAAAAAAAAAAAAATAAAAGTTTGCAAGAAAACAGCAAGAAGTGAAAATAAAAAGATGGAAATTAAAGATAAAATGAGTAAACTCGAGAAAAAAAGTGAAGAAAGAACAGATGAGACCAGAATTAAATGATGAAGAAGGAACAAGAAGCACAAGAGACAAAAGAAGGATGGAGAGTGAAGGGCGCAGAGGACGGATGGAGGCAGCAGCAGCAACACGTGGACCGAGGAGGCAGAGAGCCAAAGATCCTCTCCTCCAAGCTGTCTTTGGACTCTTTCCATCGCTGCCGGGTAATTGCTCTCAGGGACGCTCCGTCCGAACGCAAACGCCTCCGCGTACGGGCTCGTGACGCGTTATCCTGCACTGATCCGTGCCGTCGCTCCTGGAATTCACAGATGAGCCGATAAAAACGACCGCTGCCAGGAAACGTTCAGTCCGAGAGGCCGAGCTGCAGCCGGCAAAAACATGCCTCTGGTCTGAGCTCTCAGGACTCCTGTTCACTCCTGGAATCAGAAAGAGACGCAAACAGCCTGAAATAGATGTTTAAAAGTGTCCAAAGTAGAAAAATGTTTGAACTTAGAGACCAGTGCAGTGGCTGGTCTAAACTAAAACCTTGTTCAGAAGAGGTTGTGTGTGTCCTCCATGGACGAGGTCGTTAAGCAGGAAGAATGGAAAGTGTCACCTGATGCTTTAAAGCTTAAATTAATAAATGTAAAAAGTGAATTTATTAGGGAGGAAATAAAGAAATATGCTGAATAATTAATTATATGCCCACTTGTAACCCACGGTTGCTTTGCCTGAATCTGTCTCCAGGTATTTCTGACCACCGTGTGACTTTGTGAATAAGCTCTGCTGTTGGAGAAGCAGCAGAACTGGGTCTCAGACTCAGTTTGATGTTTTATCAGCGCTGGAAGGAGATGCTTTGTCTGAATAAACTGCAGCTGAGCTGCAGAGTCTCCACACTCTGCAGGATTTCATTTTCACCGTTCATTTTGAACAGACAAACTCAAACATGTAAATATTATTGCATCGTTTTTCCAACTGACACTTACAGGGGTCCAACTTTCAAATGATTGTTTTCTAATTATTTTTTATTATTTTCACAGCCTATGAATAGGAATAGTACTGGATACATTTCATTTTGTGCGTTGTAAAACTACACGCGACACTGTGATCTGTGGCGAGAGCAGGGAACAGGTGGAAGAGAACTTGGAGAGGTGGAGGTATGCACTTGAAAGAAGAGGAATGAAAGTCAGCCGTAGTAAGACAGAGTCCAGGCAGGATGGAGTGATGGAGAAAAGTTTCAGGAGTGATTTGAAACAAAAAGGGTGTCAGCAAAGGTCAAAGGAAAAGTTTACAAGACAGTGGTGAGACCAGCTATGTTGTATGGTCTGGAGACAGAGACATGGACAAAAAGACAGGAGACAGAACTGGAAGTGGCAGAAATGAAGATGTTGAGGTTCTCCTTAGGAGAGACAAGGATGGAGAAGATCAGGAATGAGATCATCAGAGGTACAGCACAGGTTGAACAACTGGGAGATAAAGTTAGAGAGGACACACTGAGATGGTTGGGACATGTCCAGAGGAGGGACAGTGGTTTGGACATGTCCAGAGGAGGGACAGTGGGTATACTGGTAGAAGGATGTTAGAAAAACTAACTAAACTAAAACTAATAAAGGCTCTTGAGTCCTGAGGAGGTGCTCAAGGTTCTCACTGCACACATGATGTCACAGTTAAAAACTGCACATTTATAGATTTTAGAGCGTCTGTGAAGGAACGTGCACATCAAACTCTGCAGTTACACAGTTAGGCATGACGTTACCTTTGCAGCATGATTGAAAGAGCACTGCAGACAGAGGACTTTCTCAAGTCGTTTCTATGAAGGAACCAGAAACTGTGAGCAAACATCCTGATCCAAACATCACGCCGTGCAGAGCCGCTCTGCAAACTGGAAACGACCTCCACTGAACAAGAAACTCTCAGTTCCTGGTGTGCCTCGTTCCACACCATTTTATTTGCATAAAACAAACGTTTCACTGATCAAGACGCACACTTGAAGAGCGCCGAGGATGAGGAGTAACGCCGCTGTGATGAGGAGGTGACTCACCCTCACCCTCACTCTGACATATTTCCACGTGAATGCACAAAAGCATCTAAAATACTGAAGGACACGCAGATGCTCCCATGTATTAAGACAAATAATAAAAATACTTGTATTAACCTGAGGTAGGGCTCAAACTTTAAGTAAAAGGATAAAACAAAAAAGCATCGCAAAGTCGCTCTCAGTTTGTGCTCAGAGTCTTGAAGTATCTTCAGATTACAGATGAATAAAACTGAGCAGTAAATTGTTACAAACTCCGTCCGGATCAGAAACTTGTCATTTTGATGCTGTAAATATAAAATCTGCACATGAGGTGATGGTTCGCTTGAGCTCATCGTTTATTCACTCCAAGCTTCTTTTATTTGCATCTTTTTCAGACTAAGGACGTCGAAACAGACTTTCTTTTCTGTCTGTATTTTGCAGCTCTGTGGCTGTTGCCTCCTCCCTCACAGTTCACTGATCTGTTCAGATTTCGTTTCTCTTTGTTGATTCTCAGCTCTGCTCGTGTCTGCTCCCTCTCCTCTGTCCTGTCATCCGTCTCCCTTAAACTCAGGTTGGACAAAAGAAAAGACTCCTGGTCACAGCGGTGATGCACTTCCTCAACCCCCCAGTTCCCTACGTTTGTCCTCACCCGGTGGTGTAGGGGATGTTGATCCCTCCGAGGTTGATGCTCTCGCAGCCCACGATGAAGAGCGTGGAGAAGCAGAGCAGGGACACCCCGCTGCAGATCATCGCCAGCTTGGCCGACTCACGAGCTCCCAGCTTCAGCTTCTTGATGATGTAACCGCCCAGGACGATGCCCACGCCGGCGCTGGGCACAATGATCACACCTGAGGGAGGAGACGAGCTCAGATTAGACAGTCTATAAACTCAATAACCCGTCGTGGTCAGCTAATATACGGTTCTAATAAAGCAAAGTGCTGAGAGGCTGGAGAGTTTTATTGGTTCAAAACCATTAAACCAGTGAGGAAGACGAGACATTAACTTGAGATGAATCTCAAAAGCTCCTGGAATCAACCACTTTCAGTCTTAATAAATTCATGTTTCCTGAGGTCTGGCTCATTTTGGAGTCTTTTTCTGTATTATTATTTTATTTCATTAACTCGACAGATAATTTGGAGAAACGTTTACCAGAAAAGACTCCAGTTTTAGAGAACGGAACAGTGACTCAGCACTTTTTAATGTTCTGGTTAGTCATGGTGTCGATACAACGTTGGTTCTGTTCGTTTCTGCTTCTCCATAAATCTGTAAAATACATTTTTATCTTCATCACGACCTCATGCAAACACAACAATCAGAGGATGAGAAGAGAAAACGGATTTAAACAAGTCATCCATCCATCCATCCATCCATCCATCCATCCATCCATCCATCCATCCATCCATCCATCCATCCATCCATCCATCCATCCATTCCATCCATCCTCGTTGTTCTGGACTCAGGTCTCGGGGGCAGCATCTTGAGCAGGGAGGTCCAGACATCTCTCTCCACAGCCTCTTCCAGCTCTTCTGGGAGGACTCCAAGGTCTTCCCAGTCCAACTGAGAGACGTAGTCTCTCCAGTTTGTCCTGAGTCTTCCCTGGGGTCTCCTTCCAGTTGGACATGCCCGAAGAACCTCCCTAGGGAGGCGCTCAAGGAGCATCCTTACCAGATGCCTGAAGCACCTCAACTGGCTCCTCTTGATGTGGAGGAGCAGTGGTTCTCCTCTGAGTCTCTCCTGATAACTGAACTTCTCAGCCTGTCTCTAAGGAGAGTCCAGCTCCTGCAGAGGAAACTCATCTCAACCTCCTGGATCCACGATCTCATTCTTTCAGTCTCTACCAGAGTTCATGACCAGAGGTGAGGGGAGGAACGTAGACTGACCAGTAAACAGAGAGCTTTTTACAGCTCAGCTCCCTCTTCACCACAACGGACCGGCAGAGTCCACAATACTGCAGATGCTGCACCGTCTGTCAATCTCATGCTCCATCCTTCCCTCGTGAACAAAATCCTGAGAAACTCGAACTCCTCCAGAACCGCAGAAACTTGACCTCAACCCGAAGAGAGCGAGTCACCTTTTTCCGTCTGAGGACCACGACCTCAGATTTGGAGGTGCTGATCCTCGTCCCAGCTGCTTCACACTCATCTGTGAACCGCTCCAGTGAGAGCTGGAGATCACGGCACGATGACGCCAACAGGACCACATCAGCTGCAAAGATGAATCCTGAGGCCACCCAACTGGACTCCCTGCACCCCCTGGCTGCACCGAGAAAGTCAGTCCAGAAAAGTTATGAACAGAATCTGTGACAACGAGCAGCCCCGGAGGGTCCGACTTACTGCCGGCAATGCAAACCAAATACTCGCATCGCTTGTTCAGGGACCAAAATAATCCAGGTAGATAAATCTAACCAGGTTCAGGCAGGTCCTCTGGATGGATTCTTCTTTGTTGAAACGTTTCATGTTTTATCCACGAGACTTCTTCAGTCTGAGGAGCTGAAACGAGTCAAGAAGAAGAATCTGTCCAGAGGACCTGACCTTGTTAGATTAATCACAGACAGTTTTACTGACTGAATTTCCTGTAAACTGTGAGACTTTGGTCCTGGCAGCCATCTTTCCCTCTCTGCTGTTGGACTTCTTGTCTTTGGAAACGCATGCGGCCTTGAATTACCCTGACAGCAAACACTGAGTGTGGGCGGCTTCAAAGGCAGAGGAGCGTTTAACCCAGGCAGAAACAGACAACGCTCGTCCTGTTCGGCACCTCGGCTGCTGCTTTTCTCTTTGCATTATCATCACGATAAACACGTCTCTGACTTTAATATTCCTAAACGACCCAGTTCTGTCTGGTTGTTCATTGGTTATTCATAAAAGCCATGCTCAAGTGGACGATAAACTGCAACAACGTGCTTCATTTTCACGTAGTCTGACTGAATCTGTCGTTTCAGAACAATGTTTTCAGTGATTCTAGCTAAATCTTTCCCTCCCTGCGCTCGATGTAACACCAGCATGACTCAGAACGCAGACGACAAACGATCTGCCTGTAGGTGTAAAGTCTGACGGGCAAAACAGACGAAAATATGAAAAACGCCTCATTAATCCTACGCTGAATGGAAACCTGAGCAGAAAGACTAAAAGCCATATTGCTCCCCATATGTGAAGTAGGTGATCCATCATTAAACAGGGGTGGAGGCCTCCGGGTTCAACTGTCCCCCTCTTACAATGCTGTGATTGCTAGTATCACTCAGCCCTCTGTGAACAGTAAACAGCCATCAGGTGCTAATGATCCATTGTTAGGCTGATGGTCCTTCTTGAGCATGTGATCAGCTGGTTCTGGTTGTCAGCAGCAAACTGGTTGATCCACTCTGAGAAGGTGCTATTTAAGAGACTGAGCTGAATACAGCACCTCAGACTGAAGAAGTCTCTCGGATGAGAGACGAAACATTTCTACATTTTTTTTTGTTGTTGTTTTGCTTTGTTTTGTTTTTTTTGTTTGAATGTCCAGAGGACCAGATTTAACTTTTTTAGATTTTTCTACCTGGATTATTGAGCATGCATCAGGATATTGGGAGCGTATATTATGCTCCTGTTGATCATACTGCAAATAAATCACAAGAAAACCAAAACTATTAGTTTTTATTATTAAGCTGCAAAAGTGAAAGAAACGTGCAGCACGTCAAAAACTAAACTAAAAACAGTGGGGGTGGGGGGGGGGGGTCGACCACCCCGCACCACCGCCAGCTGTGCTGCGCATTAGGTTTAGAGATTAATATGTTTAGTTTTTTTAAATAGGTTTAGAGATTAATATGTTTAGTTTTTTTTTTAAATAGGTTTAGAGATTAATATTTTTTCTTTTTAATTGTGAAACAAGGTCAGAAACAAGGTCAGAGGAAGCTGGTTCTGGTTCGGTCGATTGGACCCGGTGTTATACTATATTCTGTGACCTGCAACAGTGCATGCAACACCGCCCCCTACGGTCACAATATACGGTGGTCACAGAATATGGTGTAACACCAGTTCGCAACAAGCTCCAAACAGTCAGGAAGTTGATTAATTTTCTGTTTCCTTGCGGTAGTTGAACCAGAAGATTCATCTTTAGTGAAATATTTCCAGACTATTGATGCATTTCTACCCGTTAGCCAAGACTGGACCTGCTCCGCTCCATCGGTCTGCTTGGAGGAATCCATTTTATAACCCGCACCGGGTGCGGATCATGTGACAGGTGACGCAATGACGTAACGGCGACGTAATGACGTCACTACGACTACTCGACGTGAAATTTAAAAGCTCGATAGATGTCCTATGGGTCGATTACTCGAGTAGTCTGTTAAAGCCCTGGTGTAGACCACTGCCTCTGCTGGTGAAGCATCCCAGAACCTGCCCTCCATTTGAAAACAAGCCGTCTCTTTAATATTAATGTTAACCTGCAGCTCCGAGCTGACAGTCTCTTCAGTTTATCTTTCAAACAAAACTAATTGATCAGACAGAAAAATGCAGTCCGGGGTGTTGTTTGAATATTCTGGTCTGTTTGCGGCCCGTTGGAGCGGCTGCAGAAATGTTACAGACAGTTCTATCTGAATACGGCGCTAAATGTTTCTAAACAGAAGCTTTTACATTGAAAACAAAGATATCAAAGGGATTTCAGAATAAAACAAGCTCACCAGTGTAGATGCTGGCATTGGAAGCCGGGATCCCAAACTGGGACTCAATGAACTTGGGAATGAAAGTGATGAAAGCGGTGACGATGGCGCTCTCTGCGGTGTAGGAGAGGCTGACGAACAGGAAGGTCACGTTGCTGAGAATCCTCACTGCAGCTTTGGGGAGGTCTGAAAGACAATAAAGACCAGGCCTCACTTGTGTTTTACTGCCACCATGACAGTGAAAAGACACAATTATGTCCGTTAGATTTCTCACTGAAGGCTGGTTTGGTTTCACAGCAACCAGCTGGAGTTAACTTTAGACCGTCACAGTTTTAATTACCATCATTTCACTCTCAAAGTCACTCAAAGCCTTTTGAAAAGATGAATTGCTCTTTTATTTTTTGTAAATTTGCACTTACCAACTGATTTATAATGTTTGTCATCACCCCCCTCCCCCACAAAAGAAAACAGACCATCACAAACCACATGTTGAAATCATAACCTATCTGTCTTAAGATGCTCTGTTAATTAGTTTTATCATTAAATGCTAAAAAAAACAGAGCTCTGAATCCCACTGCTGACAAGAAAATGATTCAAACAGCTCAATACTTTGCTGTCTTTATTAATTTAGTTAAATTCCATCATATTCTGGCTATAAATCATTACAATACTTAAAAACAACCACCTTCCACAGAGCGAAGTTTGTTTTTCACCAAACCAGAACCACAACGTGACATTTACAAAGCTGCTGCTTTGTTGTCAGTGGAGTAAATCATGGGGGTACCTTTAATGTCTTTGCCAAAACCCATGGATGAGGTGACCGTCTGGGCTTTGTTGTTGCTCTTCTCCTTCAGTACATCATCATCACTGGACAGGTCATCCAGAGTGAGCTTTTTCCTTCTCTTCTTCTTCTTGTGTCGAGGAGGAAGCTTCTTGGGGAAGGTGAACATGGGGAATATGACCAGCAGCATGGCCACAGCACAGAGCAGGAACCCGCTCCACCTTAACGCACACAAACCACATTTATTTAATACTCATCGCTCAACTTTTCTGTTTGTAACTGCAGTGATCTGACCACTTTAATCACAGGTATGAACGTGCTTCCTCTTTGATGAGTGACCAAAGAGATCTAATTTATTTGTTTAGATTCAGAGGTGTGTTGCTATGGATAGAAAGTTACTTTTTAAGTACAAAATGGTTTCCAGTAAAGGTGGTTATCACAAACATAGCTATAAATATTTCATATTGTATTAGATTGCATAAGTGATACAATAAGTAATACACAATACAGATAATATCAAACTACAGAAATTCTGCGCCAATAAATAACTTCATAGACAATTTCACAATATTACAATATTTGTTCAGTCATGAATACAAAATACCCATAAAAAATTGAAGTACTGGGGCACTAAGTAACTAAAGCAGATGTTTTAAATCTACAAGTATTTTGCTTCTACTTCAATTTACTTTTCTTTGGCTGTGTCAAAATTGTCCTCGTTCATGAGTCTGACACCTCCATAAAGGAGAGCCACGAAGATGAGCCACGAAGAGCCACCAAGAAGAGCCACGAAGAAGAGCCATGAAGAAGAGCCACGAAGGAAAGCCACAAAGAAGGGCCACGAAGGAAAGCCACAAAGAAGGGCCAAGAAGAAAAGCCACGAAGGAGAGCCACAAAGAAGGGCCAAGAAGAAGAGCCACGAAGGAGAGCCACCAAGAAGAGCCACCAAGAAGGGCCACGAAGAAGAGCCACAAAGAAGAGCTACGAAGGAAAGCCACAAAGAAGGGCCAAGAAGAAGAGCCACGAAGGAGAGCCACAAAGAATGGCCATGAAGAAGAGCCACAAAGGAGAGCCACCAAGTAGAGCCACAAAGAAGAGCCACGAAGAAGAGCCACGAAGAAGAGCCACAAAGAAGAGCCACAAAGAAGAGCCACGAAGAAGAGCCATGAAGAAGAGCCACGAAGATGAGCCACGAAGATGAGCCACGAAGAGCCACCAAGAAGAGCCACAAAGAAGAGCCACGAAGAAGAGCCACAAAGA